CATCAATACCCACCTAAACTTAAGCCAATCCATTAACACGTAACTCCTCCTCCAAAGCCTTCTTGGCAGCCTCAAGATCCTCGTCGAGGAAAATGTCCCAGCCGCCCTCCCAGGTGATGAAGAATTCTGTCTCCTCGTAATACTTCACTCTATGCACATCACCTGCAGGTGTAAACAAGTAATCACCAGAGCTAAGATCGTACCTCTCCTTCTTACTCAGATTCCAAACACTCTTCTTCCCCTTCAACACCACCAAGTCGTGACCGAAAGTGTGGTGGTGCGCCGGCTCAACACTCCCCGCCTCGAATCTCACGATCGCCGACGTAGGGCTTTCCTTGACAATCTTCATCGAACAACCAGGCATTATGTCAATAGGATTGAGTTGCCGATTCCCAGCCAAGCAACAGAGTGAACAAATAGATTGCTGATTCTGTTTCTTTTCGTTGTCTTTCTCGCCGATTTTGGCCATCTCCGCCAGAGAATTGTCGAAGAAAGTCGAGATCTCAGGGTTCCAGGGCTCGTTGTCTGATGCAGGGCAAGGAGACTTGAAAGGAGTATTCAGCCAGGCGGTGACGATATCAACAGCGGATTCACGATCGGTGGCCATGCCGGAGAGAGCGAGAACGTTGCAGTTGTTGATTGAGCGAGTATTGCGTGCCTCCGCGACGGTGAGGCAGGTGGCGGCATAGACGCCGGGAAATTTGTTAGCGAAGATGGCGACACCGACGCCGGTCCCGCAAGCGAGGAGGCCACGCGTCTCGTGAGTGTCGGAGCCGGACGAGGCGGCAGCGGATACGCGGCGGCCGACTTCCTCGCCGGCGCAGTAGTAAGAGGTAGTCCCGAGGTCTTCCACCTCTATGCCGAGGGAGCGGAGATGAGCAACCATCGCGTCCTTCAGAACCTCCCCGAAAGAATCGGCTCCGGCCACGATTTTCAGCGGCCGATCGGAAACTTCGACGGAAGCGGCCATGACCGCGGTGGTGGTGGAGAATTTGATGTGGTGGTTTTGGAAGCTGGGCGGTTTGAGCGAGAGAAGATGAAGGCGTTACAGTGTGAAGTGTCACCTTCTTCACTGGTACGCATTAGAAGCTTTACGGTATCTTATTTGTAGCTCCCCGTGTCCCATAAAATCTCAGATATTTTTATTTTATTTCTTAATTATTTTAAAATTGTATAGCTAATTCAATTTAAATTAATTTATATAAATAATAATAATTTATTGATTTTTAAATCTCTTCAAATATCACTCTCCAACTTGAAAACGGCGACGTATTAATGATTGTACACGGGAAGACATGCATGGATTAGCTTGGTAATAGGATAAGATGCCGGCGGAGGTTCTGTCAGAGAATTAGGAAATGGCGGGAATCAGTTCTAACGCGCGTTTTAATACAACGATCAATCTTAAAGTAATTGTTTTAAATTTCAATCACGAAGAAGAGTTTTTGAATTTCTCATAATCCGTCGATCAATCACAGTTCACTGTTCTTCTTCTTCTTCTTCGAATTAATTCTAATTTTCTTTTTTATTTTTTAAAAATTAAAGCAGAGGATTCATGGCGTACGATGCTGCTCGGTTGCACCGGATAAGAGAACCCCAAAGATATTGAAATTTGCAGTTAGCGGAGTCACTGAGCTTTTGAGGCTCTTCTCCTCTTCCTCAGCCGCAAGAGACAGGTACGCTAGGTTATTTAGTTTTTTTTTTTTTTTTTGGTTCATCGGAATGTGAGGGGAAACCAAACAAATAGGAAGAAGAAAACAATTTCATTAGCATGAACTTTTTTTTTTTCTTGTGTTGTACTTTTTTCAGTGTAGATCTTCCGGATTTCATTATAGAAGAAGCCTAGTTAGGGCTATTTAGGAGCTTTTAGTTGTATTGTTTAATATTGTTATCAATTGTATTAATACTTCAAATTTTCTAACTAAGACCTAAGTAGCTTAATTTCTTGTTTTCTTGAATGTATGGTGTAGATTGGATGCAGTGAGCTCTAGACCGAAAGAGGAGATCTCAGTTTCGGGTGTTGATGACGTGGTAATGGTTCTCAAGTCTGATTATGAGAATGCTTATTTTGTTACAGGTATACATGTTGCATTAGTTTTGTTTCCTTCACTTCTCTCCTTTTTTATTCCCTTTTCATATATGATACGGTCGGTTCCTGATTTAGACCTTGGTTAAATTAAGGTTAGTTATTCAGAGGCATATCATTCCCGAGTTACTACTTTTCCAGGACATTATTGTTTTATTGACCTCTTCTTTTTAGTCATAGTAGTAAACAACTTGGGGGGTCCTGTCCACAAATTATGAAGTATCACTTAAGAAGTTCAATGTGGCAAGGGCTCAAATAGAGTTTAGGGTTATCAATCTAGTTAATTGCATGTTATAATTTACAGTAGAGGGAATACTTTATGGTATTAGTTGCCCCAACCATCTTAATTTTATTGATAAGATTTGGTAATATTTCTAGTGAAACAATAATCTGAAAATTCGTGGCAGCAATCTTAAAGGAATTCCCAGAGGTTACTTCCGGCATAATTGTAGACTGCTAGAAAAGAAAAGAATAATTGAAGAGAGAAGAAAGGAAATTTTGGGTAGTTTTATCGCACAACTGTTGCATTCAAATAAACGAAAATGCAATGCCTTCTCGCCGAGGTGTGATTCATTTTGAATCTGTGTAACTGCTTGGCATTTTTTGGTTCCAAGGCCGTTCTTTTCTTAAGAAAAATAAAACACAGGTTATACTTTTAAGCAGACAGATTTAAGTCACAGATGCATACATGCCAGATGCCATCAAAGACATCCTATATATTTGCATATGTTCATAGTTTTTCACTTCCTTTGAATTCCCTGTTCAATTTGGAAATCTTATCCCTTATTTTATCATGTAGATTCTTCGTTTTTCTTTTTTCTTCCAATTCTAGGTTTGAGTTTGTTCTAATATACAATCTACCTGCAACATTGCATATGGAAGAGGTTGGGGTGGGGTGGTGCAGGGCACGAGTAAATAACATTTCACCAATTGGATCACAAATGTTTATGCAGCTTGATTATGTCAATAATACAACTTTTGTTTCAATGGAAACAGGAATTTTCACTTCTTCACTTTATGCAGAAGACTGCATCTTTGAAGATCCAACTATTAGATTCCAAGGTATTTCGGAAACAATCTGAGTGAGTCTCCCTGGATCAGTACCCCTCTCTCTTTAACTTATTTGTGCCATTTGTTTCACCAACCACATGAGATTTGATCCATTTATATTATGGTCTTTGACTATTCAGGGACAGAGTTGTATGCACGCAACTTAAGATTGCTTGTTCCCTTTTTTGACCAACCATCTATTGGGTTGCAAGACATCAAGAAGGTAGCCATTCTTTATTGTTGTTTGATTTCCATTTGTTTAACAGCATGTCATCAACCGTGTTTTGCTAATTAATTATGCATTCTCCCACGAACATGGCTATAGGGAAAGAATCTAATGAAAACCACACAAATGTAGGTCTTGCTCATATCTAATGTTGCATTTTGGAGAAAACAAGATTTTGGAAGAAGATTTAGTGGAAGTTCTCCAAGCAGTTCTCTGCCTATTTCAATCAGCATGTAGGCAGTTTTACCTGTTCTTTTAATTATTGCTTTCAAAAGTAGATACAAGTAATGAATCTTCAGGTAACCCTCTATTAGAACCCATGGATTCAAGCTAGTTTACCAATAGCTTGAATGTCAAGTTACTTGTACAAAGAGCTCCTTTTAGTTCTACACCAATTATAATTGAAGTTCTCTACTACCTGGATAGCTTATAGTTATCGTAATTTTTTTTAATGATTAAGATAATTCTTTTATAAAGAACGTCGGTAATTATGAGTTTCATTTGTTTTTAGGCTTCTCCGCCCTCTTGCTTAGTTTCAATAGTTTCGTATTCATTCTACTTGTGCAGCATGGACACTTGCGGCAAATTTTGCAGCATCAGTTATAGAAAAGAAAATTTAGTACTTAGGGTCTTTCTAGAAGAGAGGAAAGTTGGATAAATTGAGCTTGGTGGCGAGGTTAAATGAGCTTGCTACTAGTTACAGAGGTGAAAGGAGTTTGTCTTCTTCTATCATGGTTACTACTTACTAGCCAGGCTTCCTTGTCTCTTTCTCTGGAGAGCTGTTTCCGGTGACACTAACTTTAGTTATTACCTCCTGGATACATATTTGACGCAACACATGTTTATTTGTCCTAACACTAGCAGGTCTTTGACCTGGCTCTGAACAAGTCTTCCCTTTATTTCATATTGTAGGTGTGGACTTATGGCAATATTTTTCTTTTTTTTTTTGAAATAAGACTTATGGCAATATAATTTCAGGATGTAAATTAAATATCATAGAAGAATCATTTACAATGTTATGTATCACCTAACTGCAGCTTTTTCTTCTCAATCATTCTCCTACTATCCTTTATTGTATAGCCTAGAGCTAGTGAACCTTAGTTCTGTAGAATAATGAAGCGAGTGATGTTAAGATATAATATGAGTATATGAATAATATGTTGGAACCTTTCCTATCAATTAAGTTTTTGAAAAATTGATCATAAAGTGTGAGAGCTATATTAGATGCCAGACCTATGAGTTACGGTTCCATGATGCTCTTGTTGCACACCCACTTTTGTAGTCATAGGCTGCTTTATAAATACTTATTTTGAACTTTTTATACAACATCCTCAGTAATATGATTACTCATATCGTCATAAAACACAGATTCTGGGTTCAAATCTTATCATTATTACTCGCTATTTCTTTTGTTCATTATTTGATATTTGAGACATGAAAAATCTGTCTTTTTTTTTTTTTTCTGCAATCCTATTGATTACTCACTTATCAAAAATTGTAACTTTTCTTAGGTTTAAGTAACACTACTAAGATCGAAATCCCCACTTGCACATGAGAAGGTATATGTTAAAATATGAAAAAATAAATTTGAGTAAGGAACTTCTATGTTAGTTTAAGGATTTGGGACCATTGATCCTTCACTACTTTATTATTTTGTTGGTCCTTCGATTAAGTTTAATTTCGTTGTAGTTGTTGGCTAAGGATGAGTCTGGCTTGTGGTTTAGGTTTTATTAACAATAAAACGATATCTAAGTCCTGGAAATCTACTGGATACTTTAATTCATTGCATCTCCAAACCATGAAGGAGCTCCAAGGCAGAGATTTCTATCTCATTGCCCTTTCTTTTGGCTCTTCTCTAAAAGATACTATCAGCTCTCTAAATATTTGGAATTTAGTGTATACTTGTCAAATGGCTGTGATTGAACAACAACTTTTTCCTCTTTTTCTCTGATAATTTCTCTCTCTAATTATAAGATATGTTCATTATAATGGAAGTACTAAATAACATAACTGATGTGCAGGGCATAGATTCTGAGAAAAGCTTCGTGCTTGCAACATGGAAATTAAGGTGCCTTACACTTTTACCAAGAAACTAATGGAATTATTTTGCCATTCAATTTGCCATCTCCAAACACTCTCAAAAATAGAGTTGCTTAGAGATTATTCTATCAGGATATTAACTTAACAGAACGTCACAAATTCAAGCATGCAGTTTTGTTTTCTTCCATCCTAATTTCCAACGGCTTTCATCCATTTGTTTAAATTAGATCTTGAATTTGCAGAACTTACTTGAAACTCCCATGGAGGCCTCTTATTTCTATTGATGGAAAGACAGTCTACGATTTAGACAGCAAGTTCAAAGTAAGATTAAGAACAAATCCTTTTTGCTACATCAATTTTTACATTTGGTCTGCTATATGCTATGATTTACTGTTGTTTGAACAGTTACTTTGAAAGATTGTTAGGCATGCTGAGAGCTGGAATGTTTCTGCATTGCAAGCAATTGGACAGATTTTCACCCCAAGTTTTGGAAGGCCTGCTTATTATTAGTAAGTCAATCTCCAAAAGTTTAGAAATATGAAAGTTGCCCGATGCAGAATTTTTGAGTCTATTGTTAGTGTTCAGTTCTGATAATGCTACTCTATTATTCATCTCTTTCCTTGAAATCTATAATCCATATTTGGCTAGTTGCCACCATTCAAATAATCCAGGCTGCAGAAAGCAAGGCCTTATCTACATCTGGACCGAGTGAAAGTAGTTATAGTTAGTAGGTTAGTTACCTTCTCTATTTACCATGAAAGATTGAGTTATCAGCCAATTGCACATTTTTGTTTGTGGTATAAAAAGCAATAACCTCCATTTGTCTTTCTCCAAAGTGCAATAAATTTGACATAGTTAAGAAATTATAAACTAGGACTTTGTTTAGAACAAACAAACTTTTATAAACTAAGACTTTGTTTAGAACAAACAAACTTTATATGAAAAAAATAAACTCATTTTAACTATGAGAATGTGGAGATTCCTCCCAAAATAAGTGTCATTTTGTGAAGAACCTCAATTATCACATAGTCAAAATAAGTGTTGATTTTCAAATGAATTATAAAAATAAAATTGATTTATTCTAAATATAGCCAAAGTTCAAGGACTGATTGAGCAATAGCAGCAAAGAGCGGTAAAGAAACTTGTTGCTAGGGAAGTTTTAGGTCTCTTCTAAAAATGTTATGTGCTTTCTAGAATTAGCTGCGCTATGTGAAAGATAGTTATTGTAGACACTTGGAACCTCCCGGTATCCAAGTTCTATTGGTTCGGTAACTTGTCTACCTATGTTACCTATTTTTAGTAGCTCGGTAATAGTAATAATTTGAATCTTAGAAAACATATCAATCACATTTCTTTTGCGACACTAGCCAGGAAATACTCCACCGTCCTTAGTTGCTTAAATTCTATGCAGTACTGTGTTGCAACCACCAGAAGAAAAGTGAAAAAAAATATTTATTTTTGGAATAGTTGATACATTTCTCTTTTTATATAAGGTTATAGATTCTAAATTACTGTGTATTTTTAGATGTTCAGATTATAAACATTGTATTATGAGTAATATATATATCTGTCACATGAAATATATAAATTTTCACTTAAAAGAAATTGTAATTCTATTTCTTGATCAGAGGAATGGGCCGGAAGAGAAAAGGAAAAGGCAGGTATGATTATAAAGGAGTGAAGCATACAAGGGTAATGATTACAGGGGAGCATAAATATATAAACAAGTGATGAAGAAGAACTAGAATATATTTTTATGATTGGTGATGTTTTGGTCCCTCAGTTTTATGGCGCAGAAAGTCCATATCTTCATAATCATAAAAGACAACTAACATATCTGCAAATTCTCAGACCTTTATTATCAACTGATAGTTTACTGAGAATCCTAGGTGCTGGTGGTGGTGATGGTGGTGATGGCGCTAGTGCTGGAGTTTGGTGACATCTGAGCGCATGGCTGTTGCCTCGGCTGCCTCCCTCGTTACTGTGGCAGCTGTCCTGTGCCATTCTCGCTGTGGGCCTAATGAGTAAGCATTTTGAACTTTTCTGATACGTAACTTTTTTTATACTCTTTTTTCATTTAAATATTAGGTTTTAGAATAATTTCAATTGAAATTGAAAGTATATATTTTAAATCTACTAGAATTAATAAGATTTTAAAAGTAACCTTTCGATTTTACTTAAAATTATTTAAAAAATTTATTTTTATCCCATTGTATAAACATTTATATAGTCTAAATAAATTTTACATGCACAAGTTATTGTTTCGAACATCAGATAAATATTCACTACCAATATAACCGCACTGTGAAAATTCTAATACATAAAATATGTTACAGAAAAAAGAACATAGAAAATATTTTAAAATAATTTACATATACCCTAAAAATTACAAGTTTTAATTGTGATATACGTGCAACTTAGTTAGACCATTTGCTTATTGGAATTTCGTAGGATTAGTCTTAGAAGATAGTTAGATTATCCACACCCCTCTAAGACAGTATATATATATATATATATATATGATATGGTATTTTATTTAAAATTTTATATTTAATTTAGAATATGGTATTTTAAAATTTTAAGGCATTACTTTTTGTTATCTTTTAAAAAAATCATATTATTTTCTTAAATCAAATAGTGAAACAATCATATCCTGAAGAAATTTCACATTATAACATAAGAAAAAATGGTTGCATTTATTTACATATAAGAGATATAATACACCACAAATTTACAAAAAAGAAAACTCATCAAATGCATCCATAAACCCCCATAAAGAATATTAAACCAAATAATCGAAGAACAAATAAATTATTTTTAAAAAAAAAAAAATCTTATTGAATTAATCCTTCCTCCAAGCATACAACAACAAAGAGAACCCTCCATTGCTCCCACAAGACCTAGTTGATGAAGAACATGAACTCCTTCCACCATCACTGCTCTCCTCAGCCCACTGCAACACACTCGAGCCAGACGGGGACGATGACGACAACGACAACGAAGATGCATTATTAGGTTTCAATGCCGATAAGCTTTTCTTCATCAATTTTTTCTCCGGACCTACCATTTCCGGCCATACCCCTCCATCTCCGATTTGAAAAATAAATACTCCGTAACTATTACTACTTGTGTCAATCTTGTTTTTATTGTTATTTTGAACCCAATTAAATACGTCCCAGAAAAATTCTACCTCGGTGCCCCCGACAAAAATTCTCTGATTCCCCCTAAATTTCCACGCCAGCCTTTTGACAACAAGTCTCGTCTCCCCATCCACTTTTACTTTCAACGCTCCCCCGCTACACTCTATTCCTATCTCGTGTTTGGACCCCAATAACTCCGCCCGGGACACGTAACTCCTGCGTCCAAACACATGCTCTCTCCGAGACAGCAGAGTTGGCTCGCCGATTTTCCGAGCGGGGACAACCAATCCGGTCCTCCGACTCAACTCGTCTTGGAGATCGCCGAGGAAGAACTCCGGCTTGGCATTGCATGAAACTGCGACGTAGAAGCACGAGTCGGGCTCGGCCGAGTTGTGGGTGAAGACGGCGCGAGTGAAGTCCCAGTAGATCTTGATCTTGCTGTAGTGCTGGTGGTGGGTAAGATAGATGGATTTGGAGGCGGGTCGGGTTCTGAAAAAGGAGAAGCTTGAAGGGTTAAGGGAGATGGTGATGGAGAAGGAGTCTGCAGCGTAGATGGTGAGAGAATGGGAGAGTGGTGTTTTAGACCAGGTGAGTGTGAGGTGAGTTGGTGAGTCGAGGAATAGGGTTTGGTAGATGCATGTTACGAGGTTTTGAGAAGGGAGTTGTGAGTTGGGTGATGATGAGGGACTGTTTGGTTGGCTGAAACATGCTGGGATCATCGTCGTCTTCAACCTCCCGTAGTCTCTCTGAAACTAGTTTAGTACACCGTTTAACTTTTGAGTTCTGATATCTAGAGAGAGAGAGAGAGAGAGAGAGAGAGAGAGAGAGAGTAGTGGGTAAGGTTTTGGGAAGGTGGTGGGGTTTTATATATGAGGTGTTGATATGAATATATGGTTTTTAATTTAAAAGTAACATTTACGTTGTGTTTGAATATATAATAATAATTTATTTAACCGAAATTGAGTCGTTGAAGAAAATAAAAAGAAGTGAAAAATGCAAATCGGGTTGGATCACAACATTAACCAAAGGTCAAAAAAAGAAAAATAAATGATGTCATTATTATTATTATTATTATTATTATTTTAGTCATAGGGATATATATAAGGGAAGAGGATGATGTAAAACTTGATATCTTCATTTCTAGTAACTTATTAATGAATTATTTATTAAATTAAATATTATAATTTAATCACTCATAATAATCTTATAAAATTATAAATTTTACGTAAATTTAGATTCATAATCTTCAAATGTATGTTAATTATATGAATGAATGAATTTAATTAAAATTTTTGTATATATAAAATAAATATTAAATATTTAAACTCATAATTTTTAAATGAAATAATATAATTTTAATTATTAAATTTCTTGTTAATTTTATGAATAGATAGTTACACACATATTATTAACATTAAAAATAAATTCTAAAATTTTCAAAAGAGAGAAGAAAAAAGGCTGGATAACAAAAAGACAAAAGTTAATCCACATAAAAAAAAAAATGTACTCAATTTTTGAGGATGATGATAATATGTATATATATATGTATATATACATTTGATCTTCCTTGATTTGCGCCTTTGACGATGCTTTTATTTTGTCTATAAATAGGTATATATATATATAAATCAAAATGAGCTGGTTTGCACTCTTGCTTCTCTCTCGGTCGCAATTAGAGGGTGACTGATTTTCTTCGTACCTAAAAATGGCTTCTTTTACTTTCCTTTTTCATTTATTGCTTTCTTTTTTCTTTCCTTCCTTTTTCCTGTTCTTTAACGAACATGGTTTTCCTTTGTTTCCTCATTAGTACAAGCAATACTAAAGAGTTTGATTATTTACTTTTCAAAAAACTTTATGGTAATTACTTTTTCATATGTATATACTTGTAGTATGTTTGTGTATACATGCGTGTGCGTGTGTGTTTGCATATATATATGTGTGTGTGTGTGTGACACTCTTGCATGCTTGAATTTGTTCAGTCCAACACACTTATGGACATTGTTGATTGATTATATATGTGTATAAACAGCTTCCTCACAGAATTAATGATTTTTAGCTGGATTTCTAAATATATTTATATATTTGAGTGTATGTATACAGTATGGTGTGTGTGTGTGTGTGTGTGTGAGACACTCTTGCAAGCATGAATTTGTTTAGTCCAATATACTTATGGACATTGTTGAATTATATATGTGTATGAATAGCTTTCTCACATAATTGATGACTTTTAGCTGGATTTATATATATATATATATTTGAGTATATGTATAGAGTATGGTATATATATATATATATGGTATTAATTATAATTGGAGCCCATGTCGCTGCTGCAGAAGCATCATTGCTGAAGCATGCAATGTTCAGCAACATTTTCCATGTCTAATTATTTCGACACTTAAAAAAAGTCTGCAAAAGCTGCATTAATATCTTATAATTATAATTAAGAAAATTAAACTTTATTATCATTTTAATTATTAATAAATCTTATCATAATCATGATCTCTACCCACCTATATAACATCCAATATTTCTCACAAAAACCATTTTATTTGCTAAAACAATTTTATCTAGTTCATATATAACCCCATCTATATGTACATATAAGTAATACCCACGTGTTATTTTATTTTATTTTTCTGAAATAAAAAGAAAATATACTAATATTAATTATAACTGTCTACCATATAGAGATAAAACAAGAAATATTATTTATTGAACTAACATTATTTTCAAAATATAATTGCATGTTATATACTGTAATTACTTTCCATGCCATGCTCAAATTCTTTCACTATTTACTCCTACCATTCTTGACCAATTCATGTTGAACAGCCTTCATTACAAATCCATCTTGATGAACAAACATTATCACCGGAGACTTGCCAAAAGTTCTTGCCATTGCAAGCATGATCTCCTTCATTAGCGACTCGAACTCCTTGCGGTTTATCCCCTCCTTTTTCTCTTTATCGAATCTCTCGAAAATATTGTTGTAAACCTCATTGATCTCCTCTCCTGTCTGCACTTCCGATTCTAATGCCACAATTCTGTTTAACCCGTTTCGAATCTCTTTCTTTGAAAGCACTCCGTCTTTATCGACATCGAGAAGCTCGAAGTATTCGTCGGCGCATTTCTCAAAGGTTTTTGAATCTTCTGCAAATCCGATCAATGTTAAACTACTAAAAATACTCTCACACATTTTTAGAATTAATGGGCGATCGAATTAGCAATTTCTATACATTAGTGTATGTAGTGTGGGGTAAATAAATATGTGGACAGCCTATATTTAGATGTCTATAAAGCTGATAGCTAGTTTAGAGATTTTA